CTATGAACACAGTATTAAGCCACTCATGACTTGACTACCACCCCGCAGCATGGATGCACCACCATCTTCTCACGGCTGCAGAATCCATAGACCATAACCACCAACAGATCTACAAATATTGTATGGTGGAGCGATGCCACACACACCTGTGTGCATCTTATCTCATGATATACCTTTGACGCGTCTTATTTCTGTAGTCCTCTCTTGGTTTATGTAGTTAAGGATCAAAACCTTAATTTTGCTGTCCATGTTTTCTAAAACAACGATGACTGGCTCATCGACTGACTCACCAACTGACTCATCGACTCACTCATTGTCTGACACATCGTCTTGATCTCCGAAATGTATTTCTATCTTGTGTTGATCCCTAATCACCACTTGCATAAAGTGCATCCTTTGTAACTGCTCTACTTGTACCAGCATCAAGTACTACCTCAACAATTATTTCAGTTCTGTCCAATGTCTCTGTCTGAACTGTCACACCATGTATATCGATCCTGTCTTATTCTCTGAACCACGTACTCATATTATCTCACGGTTTACTGTAGTGTTATCTTTCTTTCATCTGGCACAACAGCTATATTACATCATGTTCCATCAGCTGTATCATGTTCTGTTCCACAAACATGCACTTTCAGATGATGCATGAAGGTGGTATAGGAGAGCTTTCATGTCTTTTGCTATTTCTTTCACGTCTTACATGATATAGAATAACTCTCTTTGAGATCTTAAACATCACCACATATCTCAGGATTTCTCCTATCATGCCATCTGCATCCAAGTTATCAGTGAATATTTTTTTATTGATTCAGTCCTTTGTTAACTTCGAGTTTGCTAGGTTAGATTTCGAGATGATACTTCGTAAATATTGTGAGCTATAGATATGCTGAAACCTGTATTTGAGCCAGTTGTATATTTGGTCTACTTCCAAATTTCTTTATAAAATAAAGGAGTGTTTAGAAAGCAGTTTTGGCTGTAGACTTTTAATTTGTAGTTAATTTTTTAAAACTTTTACTAAAAAAAATAACTGTCATTTAAAGAAAATAAAAAACAGATTTTGGGGGTGCTTGCCATTAGACTTTTTAGGACTTTATTTTTGTTAGGCATAAATTCGATCCTTCCTACGTGGACGAACTGCGAGCTTGCACGTGGTATTCATGGATTTTTTGCAGGTACGGCCCCCTGGGCCAAATTAGGTCTCGTATTGGACTTACGACCCAATACGACCTAAGCATATAACACCGAGCCTCGAATCCATTCAGATTTGGGAGATCCATTACAATAGACCACATGTTCCCGGGTTCCTTGTATATGACAGCACATGCCATGTTGTCAAAGAAAAAGAGGTCGGAAACTGAGTGGTCAAGAGGAGGAGATGTTACATTCTGTATGTCCTAGACCTAATCTCGGTAATCCGGAAGAGTCGGGATATAAGGAAGAGTGGCCCGTACAGATCCTCGGAGAGTAGAGTCTTCCATCCAAGCAATCCCAGCAGCCCGGTCCTAGTAGTGAGGGATCCAGGCCAAGTTTGAGTAAAGCTATAAGCGGAAAACACTATTCAAACTTCCTTTCTTTTGACAATAGGAATATGCATTAGTTTTTGATTACCATACCCTTACAAGCCCACAAAAGTGGCATTTAATGTGTCTTTCTTACATGTGTTAGGTGACAGTTACTTTTCGCAGGAGCTAGAGGGAAAAGCAGATGTTCAGCAAGAGCCGTACCACGCCTGAATCGCCGATCCAACCCGTACACTGAAAGCGAAAGAGATGCACCAAGGAGCGGTCTTGTAGCAGGCAGAACATGTCAAAGAAAGTTGGTGAGGCCGTCAGAAGAATGACGAAAGCACAAGATTCGAACCCAGTCAAGTCGGGTCAAAGACCAACCCACTCGATTTGCTATCTGTGGACTGACCCGGTATATTAACCCGAATCAGGTAAAATCCTATAAATACTCAATTTCTTCTAACAAGGAAGGGGTTCACACTCTTAGCTATCTTTAGGCTCATACTTTTCAGGTCATTACTACGACCATCTCTTCACTTCCTCTCCACGACGGTTCCTAAACCATATAGCATTTCCCACAACAAATTTTTTCTTTCTTCGCTTTCCACGACAAGAAGGTCATCACCACTTAAAGGCCCGAGTCGATTCCATTTTTCTCAGGAACGCTCGGCCCACTTTCCTTTCCTAATTTTTTTTTTATCTCGTTCCGATGTCCGATTAGCCATTTAGTGGTCTTTTTTGGTTATTTATGACTTGAGCGTCAGAAAGCCTTCGAAAAGCACACCCCCATCAAGTTTTCTGAGCCTTCACGTATTTTTCGGTTTTGCAGAAGACTTGCTCCCACAAGAGGACTAAAAATTCCCTAAACAATTTTGTTTCAAAGTTTTAAAAGCCAAAAATTTGCTAAACATGTTTTTAATTCTTTTTTTTTCTCTCTCTAAAGCCTCAGTTGCCCACTTCTTCTTTTTTACTCTTTACACTTCATTTTAAAAAAAATTTACGAGGTTGCTTAGTAAAAACTGTTACTATTTTATTTTAAAGACTATTGCTGTAAAAGTTTAGTTGTTATTTAAAATAGTTAATAAAAAGCAAAAACAAACAATTGAAAAAAAGATCTAAAAAAAAGCAGAGAAAATGTAATCAATTAAATTTAGATAGTAATTACTCATATATAAATCGATAAAATCTTTTGAATGATTATAAAAAATAGAAATAGAAAAGAAAGAATTAAAAATATAGGACAAATAAATTTTACTATTGTCCCCTTACTATAATAAATTTTGTCCTTTTAATACTTCTACTAATAGTTTAACCTCTTCTATCCTTCTAATTCGAATTTACCCATATTAATTAAAATTTATATTTATGATACAAAATTTATTCGAAAAAGAAATAAATATATTCGAAAAAGAAAGAAATATATTCTCTAGATTTGATTAGGAAAGAAATAAAAATTTTAAAAATTAAAAAAAAACAATTAGGAAATTAAATAATTCGAGAAGAAAATAAATATATTCTCTAGATCTGATCCTAGATTTTTCGGAGATTCAGTTAACCGAATTGTAGAATAAGTATTCTACAATTGTAGAATAAAGAGTTTCTGTAGAAATGCAGTTTTACTAAGATGTAAATAAAAAAGGTAACTATAAAAAGATAATTCTACTAAACTGTAGATCAATGAAAAGGTTGTAGAATACGGTTTCATAACTTTGTAGAACATAGAAAAACTGTAGATAACTAATTCTATATATTTAGTAGAAAACTAATGAAATAGTAAATAACTTATTTTATAAATTTATAGATTTATAGAATGCGCTTTCTACTAATTCGTAGAATATTTGTAAAAAGTTTTTTTAATTTTTTTTTTGGCAAAAAGATGTTACGAAATATCTTTGTCTACCCTTTTCAAAATTTTCCAAAATTTTTTAAATTATAAAAGTATTTTTTTTTGTTAATTTTCGTAATTATAAATAAATGGTATTTTGTCCAAAAGTTGTCAAATTTAAAAAAGTATTAAGGGGATAATACTACAATTTTTTGTCTTATAAATATAATTGCCCCAATAGAAAAAAATGTGTTTACTTTTTTTATAAGCTTTTAGAATTCATGACAAATTTTGGTTTCCATATTTCAGAGAGAGAGAGAGAGTTTTTCTCTCACTTTTGTTGTAAATAACCCGATTAATATTGGATGTTTTCCTATTTACATCGGATCGTCTCTTTCGATATAACGGAAAATAAATTCTGATTTCTTCGGATTTTCTTTTCCTTCAATCAGAATCTTTTGCTATCTTTTGTTATCGATTCCTTCTAACGGAATCTCTTACTAATCCTTAGTGGAGTGAAAGATTTATTATGTTTAGAAGAATCTTAAGTCTTTTTAAAACAGAATAATTGATTTCTGGTTGTTTGGATGTTTTTGTCCTTTCTCCTCTGCATATAGATTCCTCTTATAATTGAGGTGGTGATGAATAGAGTAAGTGTTGGGATTTTCTTCTTCGACTTCTGGTTTCATCTTCTCCTGCTGGAAGTTTGATCTCCCCAAATCACTATTCTGAGCCTTGGGTGATGTCTTGAGTTATCGATGAACGTTGGTGATATTTACTGAAGAAGTAAAATTCTGGCTGATGTTACTCACAAGATCTAAATCAGAGGGGGAAAAAGGTAGTGAAAGAAAGGGGTGTTCAGGCGAAGTTTTTAGATGGCAATGGGGACTTGCTGGTGTTTGCTGGTGATAAGACCGTCGTCGGCGACATATCGATGGCGATGCAGTGCTTTTGTTTTCAGTTCTACCATGTTTTGTCTTTGTTTTTTCTTCAAAAACATGTGTGTATGACGTGTATCGTCTTCTACTCGTGTTGTTCTTAATTTGTCTTAGGCTTTAATGGGCTTTGTAGTACTCTTTGTATTGTCTTTCCATGAGCTTTTACTAATAGAAAGTAAACGGACGACAAAAAAAAGAATTTAAAACAAAAAATAAAGTTTAAAATTAATAAAATAAAAAGTGTATGTTTAGCAAAAAAAAAAAAACTTTTGAAACTATGAATGATTTTAAAAAGTCTACATATCTATACCAATGAGGCCTTACGTTTATAAAATTTTTAATTTTTTAAAGTTACATTTTTTTACTTTTAAAACAAATTTTTTTACAGTTTAATTTTAAAGAGTTTTTATGAGAAATTTTAGGACTAAAATTTTTTTTTTAATTCAATAAAATTTGTTTGGCTAAATTTATTTTGATTTATTTTAAAATCCTTACATTTCTGAAAATCAATTTGCCAAGCAGCCTAAATTACTAGAATTTTAATAAATTTAGGGCCAGATTTCATGTGAAATATCCAACTTCAACACTTGCTTACAGTAAGATGATTGACTGTATTCTACCTTGTTATTACAGTAAAATTACTGTATTCTACCTTGTTATTACAGTAAATTTAGACGGAATAATGTATTTTGTCTTTTTTTTTTTTTGCCTACTAAAACCACAAATCAGATACAACAAATCTCAGAAAGAAAGAAAAGGAAAATGTCGAATTCGACCAACGAAACCCTAGAAGATGGAAAGGGGCAATTCGACGACAAAATAACCAACGTGAACCAGCGAACAGAGCCGTCTCAGGAATGGGAGACAATGGCTCGTGCCTGGATCACCGCCTTCCCCGACGCCAAAGCCGTCATAAGCGTCAGCGAAGTCGAGACCTGGATCGGCTCCAACTTCGACTCCTTGCCGGCGGATCTCCGCCACCGACCTCGCTCCGAGCTCGTCGATCGCCTCCTCTCTATGCAACATTACATGAGACCAACACCATCAGACCACAACGAGGTACGTCTTAAAAAAATCCGAAATTTCTCCGATAAAAATCTTGTGTTGAAGATTGATTTTTGTACAGCAGCAAAATGGGGAAGAGAATCAAACGGATCAGCATCCAGCTCGGTTTCAGAGGACTGACCAGTGGTTACCGGTTTATTCGTGGTTAGAGTCGTTGGATAATGGAGAGTTGGTTAAATCCAAGGATATTACTGAGTGGCTTGATGCGAATCCAGAGGTTAAAGAAGAGCTTTCTTCGAGGCATTCTCGTTATCATTTGACTCATTATGTCAAGAAATGTCATCTCAAGATACTTAAAAGGAAGGAGAAGAAGGTAAAAAAGGAAACACATTCAGCTTTCTTTCCTTCTTCTTGATTCGTTTCTTGGAACTGTGTACTTGGTTTGGTCTTGCACTGGCACATAATGTACCTTTTCTCGAGTTGTTATCTGCAATGTTAAATCGGTTCTTAGGTTAATTTGGCATTTGATTCAGGGGTTAATCCGGCTAAGCAGAGCAACTGCTATGGAAGTTCACAAAGAATTTGGCGAGAAACACTCAGCTACGCTTTCCGGTAAACGCTATTTCCTCTTTGGTCCGAGTTCTTTAGTACCAAAATGCAAAAACTTTCGTGCTCTCCATGTCGAGAATGTGACATTTATTGACACTCTTTGGATCCATCATCTTGCTAACTAATGTGTTCGGGTGATTTATTCCTTGAAGACTGTCTTTACTCAAAGGGATTTATTGTGTTTTGTTAGTTCTTCTGATGACATTCTTAATCTTGGGTACAAAATCTTGTAGCTGATCCTATGAGCAACGTACCAAAAGACAGTGATCTCTACCGTACAAAACAGAAAGAAGCTAAACGCAGATTTGAGATGTAAGTCGGATTTCTCAAGACTCGAAGCTTATGTAATTTTCGTTTAGTCGTTATATTCATGTGCCTTTTATATAACGTCCAGCTTGGTTGAGCTCGAGAAAAAACTGGCACCGCATTTTTCAAGGCCTCGGATAGCAAACAGATGAAATTTATCTACCAGTGTGTGTGTGTTAAATTAGAAGCTGGTTTCAAAACTCCACCTTTGATTGTCTTTGTAAGTATGTTCTCTGCTTTGGTTCTGTAGAACTGTTTGTGAAATTGTAAGGTGCAGTGCAGCAATCTGTAACTTGTAATCTTTTCGAATGTGAACAATGATATCGTATCAAAAACATTATGTACTTAGAGAGAGATGCTATTAAATTGAGAAGTCAAACGATGTTTGTCTTATTTCCAAAATATTCAGAAGAGAGATGGCTCTAAAAGAATATGCTTCATATTGAAAAATGCTAAAGAAGATGAAAAGAAAACTAAATAAAAGACATAATTTAAAGAAACACTAGATTCTAATCCAGAATATTTTTTATTGTTTAACGAATTTTGTAATATAATTTACTACAATAACATTATTTTGGTATATCCCAGGGCAATATATTCTGAACCGAATTGAATTAGGAAGAACCAAACTGAACTGAAATTGTCATAAAAACCTGAATGGGTGTTCAAAATACTGAATACCCAAAATACAATTATATACAAAAAATATTAAGAATACTTCGATATGAAATAACCATAATACTTAAAACTACAATTATAAACCCGAAAATATTAGTTATGTTTAGACTGCAATAACTGAAATATAAAAAATGATCGGGATTTTGAATGTTCTATTTGTAAAAATTAAATATTTTCTCTTTTGCAAAATTTGATCAAAATTCATTAAAACTCAACCATTTTAAAATTTGTTTTTCCTATAGTTTGGATAGTTTTCCAGGTAATGTTTTTTTTCAAATATTTTAAACCAATTAAGAACCAAACCCAAATTTATTTCGATTCTATGTCAGTTCTCAGTTATACTACCAAAACCGACCCAAACTCAAGTTATAAACCGACCACAGGGTACATCCGAGGACCCGACCCGAATACCCAAGCCTTTTGCCATATTGGCTCTTCTCATATGTACACCACTTGTGAGCTTGATAAATGATAAGAGACAAATGATAATGACAAATGTTACGACATTATGTGCTCACTCAATCTATTAACAATTACAATTTAAATTTACGATTACAAATCCGACACAACACAGTTCTCTTTGTTCTGTCTTCCTAAAGAAGAAAACTTCTGTTCTGTCTTTTTCCAAAAAGAAAAAAAAAAAAAAACAGAGTCTAGAAATTCGAAGATCACACCATTACAAAGAATTAATCTTTGGAAAATTCCAAGAATCTATACTATAATAAACAACCCCTTCTGGGTTTCTGATTTCATCGCTCTACAAGAAAATAAAAAATGCGATGATGGTTAGGGATTTGTTTTCGCTTCTGTGTTTGATCGTACATGTGGCTTCGAGCTTGTGCTCAAGTCACGAAAATGGACGCGGAGATCAAGCTCTTTCTCAGATTGATATTTACAGCACAAGTTTTGCTCTTCATCACTCTGCAACCATTCACGCTTCCCCTCATGTTCTTGGTTTTAAGGTAACAACAACTTAGCTTAAGACCAAAACTGATTCTTATGCCATATTCGTGATCAAAACTCTGAAATTGATACAGGGTGAGGACACTGAATGGGTAAATGTCGATATTTCGAATCCAGAGCCTTCTTCAGATGATTGGGTTGGAGTCTTCTCACCAGCAAAATTCGAGTATTTTCATATCCATCAAACTCTTTATGATGAATCATAACATGCTTGATGTGTTAAAACAACATGTCTTTGTGTTCTTTATCTTGTTTTAGCTCATCTTCTTGCGCTCCAACAGATGGCAGAGAGATAGCTCCTTTTATATGCTCAGCTCCAATTAAGGTTTCTACTACATTTTCACTGTTGATATGTGAGCTTTTAGAAGCAAAGTTTCATATGATCTTACGATTTTTTTTTCTTTCCGGATTTTGTAATTTGACAGTACATGTATGCCAAGTCCAATCCTGACTATATGAAGACCGGGAAAGCGGTTTTGAAGTTCCTGCTTATAAACCAGAGAGCTGATTTCTCCTTTGCTCTCTTCACTGGGGGACTCTCAAATGTCAGTTGATTACAAAGCCTCGTCACTTCCGTGTTCTATATTACAAATACCAAATAGACTTTCCTTGATCCGTTTCTATTGCTCCTACAGCCAAATCTTGTGGCGGTTTCAAATCATGTTTCGTTTACCAATCCTAAAGCTCCTGTTTACCCGCGTCTTGCTTTAGGGAAGAATTGGGATCATGTAAGTTTTTCCATAAGCCTGAGTCAATGATAGAAGACCTTGTTTAGTCAAAGACTCTCAAATCGATAGATCTATCTAAAACATGCTTTATGTTGAGTGTTTGATAGATGAGTGTAACATGGACGAGTGGCTACAACATAGGTGAGGCTATTCCGTTTGTGGAATGGAGTGGGAAGGGAATTTCAAGTAGAAGATCACCAGCTGGTACCTTGACTTTTACAAGAAACAGCATGTGTGGTATGTTTATTGGCACCTGGTTTTACAATGTTCACTTTGAGAGTAGTATGAAGTAACAAATCTTTCGACTCTACTATTCATCTTGATTTGGATTTAAATGAATTTAGATTTGAATTAGTTCAACCTGGTTTAATTCAGGTGCTCCTGCTCGTACTGTTGGTTGGCGTGATCCGGGTTTCATCCACACAGCCTTCTTGAAAGATCTTTGGCCAAACCTCAAGTATATACATCGTTTAAACATATCATTTTTGTTTTCTTGTTTAATCACATGGTTGGGATAACGGTTTTTTAACGACTTGGAACATCAAGGTACACATACAGGATGGGTCATGAGTTGGTGAATGGATCGATAATTTGGAGCAAGAACTACACCTTCAAGTCCTCCCCTTATCCTGGACAAGACTCCTTACAACGGGTCATAATCTTTGGTGACATGGGGAAGGTAATTACTTACATACAACAAACATTGCCTTGTTTTTGTGTTTCTTCTTGGGGCTTATGTTTTTGGAATCTGTTTCCTTAAGGGAGAGCGAGATGGGTCGAATGAGTACAATGATTATCAGCCTGGTTCCCTCAACACGACGGATCAAGTCATCAAGGACTTGAAAAACATTGACATTGTTTTCCACATTGGAGACATCACTTACGCGAATGGTTACATCTCACAGTGGGATCAGTTCACAGCTCAAGTTGAACCTATCGCTTCTACTGTTCCATACATGATCGCAAGGTTAGCCTACCTGACCATATAAGTCTTTGCCGTTTTCGGTTTCTTGCGGTTAAACTTCTTTTACTCTTCAGTGGCAACCACGAGCGGGATTGGCCAAACTCTGGATCATTCTATGGTGGTAAAGACTCTGGAGGAGAGTGTGGGGTACCTGCGGAAACCATGTTCGACTATCCTGCTGAGAACAAAGCTAAGTTCTGGTACTCTGCAGATTATGGAATGTTTCGGTTCTGTGTAGCTGACACTGAACATGATTGGAGAGAAGGGTCAGAGCAATACAGATTCATAGAGCGTTGTCTTGCATCTGTTGACAGAAAGACTCAGCCGTGGCTGATATTTATTGCTCATCGTGTCCTCGGCTATTCCACAAATGATTGGTATGGGCAAGAAGGATCATTCGAAGAACCTATGGGAAGAGAGAGCTTGCAGAAGCTGTGGCAGAAGTATAAAGTAGACATTGCCTTCTACGGTCATGTCCACAACTACGAGAGAACTTGCCCCATTTACCAGAACCAGTGTATGGACAATGAGAAGAGTTACTATTCAGGAGCCTTCAAAGGAACTATACATGTTGTTGTTGGTGGTGCAGGAAGTCATTTGTCTTCTTTCAGCTCGCTGAAACCTAAATGGAGTATCTTCAGAGACTATGATTACGGGTTTGTGAAGTTGACGGCTTTTGATCACTCCTCGCTTCTCTTTGAGTACAAAAAGAGCAGCAATGGGGAAGTGTATGACTCTTTCACCGTCTCTAGAGAATACAGAGATGTCTTGGCTTGTGTTCGGGATAGCTGCGACCCTACCACATTAGCTTCATGAATTCTTTAACTGTGGAGAATATCTGCATAGTCTTAGTAGAGATCAAAGATAGTTCAAAATGAATTTTTTTTTTCCAATGGAGCATTTGATGAAAAACTTGATGGTGCGACGGTGTCAAGATAGTGAAGGAACAGTCTGGTTTCGATATTGATACAGATATACAAGATCAAACATAACGTCCATACTGATTAGGCTTAAAAACAGTAGTAAAAAAATGATTTGGTGAAAGCTTTGACAAATGTCGTGCCTTAAGGGAATCTTGTGGCGTTTTATGTACTATAAGATTGCAAAGTCTATGATGAACACCTGAATCACCAATTGGTTTAGTAGTAGTTAATATGGATATTAATAAAAAAGGAATCTAAAAAATCACTGATTTGGAGTTTCACCACGAGTGAGGTTTATTGACGAAAGCAAGCATAGCAGTTGAGTTTATGGCTACAAAAAATGAATATAATATAGAAAATGGCTCAAAAAAATGAATATAATATAGAAAATGATGTGGAAGAGAGAATAGTGAACACGAAGAAATTGTTGTTATAAACTATAACTTATGAATACACATATATATAAGGTGAGACATATTTTATAATATATGTGTATATATATTGTAGAGTAAGAGACGAGGGAGAAAGAGGTGAGATGGGTGAAAAATGATTCTTTTTTTTATTATTTTTTTCTTTCATTAATGCATCTTATATCCTTGTAAGTTATATATATACCAAAGAATAAAATATAAAATATTAATGGGTCGACATTACAAATTCGATAAATGAGGCGGTGAAAATTGGATGGATAAATATCCATTTCTTAATATTCCCTGTTAATTATTCATCATATATTTTTTTTTTTAAAAGTTAATATAATTTTCTTTTTGTAAATTTCTTAGATAAGTATTATTTCCTTCGGATAGATAATTCTTAATTTCTACATCATTGAAATTGTAATACTTTTCCTCGGTGTCTTACATGTCTATCATTTATGTATTTTTTGATGCTTTATTAAAAACTTTGTCATAGATCCAATAAAACAAAAACCATGGCAAGAAAAAAATGCATCTACATATCTCTTCTTCTGGAAATATTGCTCTTTAAAGGTCGATCGGTGACTCCGTTTAAACAAGGCGGTTAAAAAATTTTAAACGGTTGTGACAAAAGCGGTTAAAAAAGGCGATTAAAAATAGCAGTGGGAAAAGATGGTTTTATAACAGAAAGCGGTTGAAAATTAAACTTGAT